AGCTATTAACAACTGTGATGGGAACAAAGCCCCTGGGCCTGATGGTTTTAACCTAATGATGTTCCAGAAGTGTTGGCAAATAATTAAAGGGGATGTGATGCAATTCATGAGAGAGTTCCATACTAACTCTAAGTTGGTTATTGGTATTAATAGCTCTTTTGTAGCTTTGCTTCCGAAGAATGAAAATCCTTCTTCTCTCAGTGATTTCAGGCCTATCAGTCTTATTGGATCGTTGTACAAAGTGTTATCCAAAGTATTATCTACTCGACTCAAAATAGTACTACCAAAGATCATCAGTGAAGCTCAATCTGCGTTTATAGGGGGGAGAAGTATTTTAGATGGCATCCTGATTGCTAACGAGATTGTAGATGGCTGGAAAAAGAAGCACAAAAAAGGCATTATTCTAAAGCTAGACTTCGAGAAAGCATATGATTCAATTAACTGGGGGTTTCTCTTTTCCATGTTATCAAATTTTGGGTTTGGCTCAAAATGGATCAAATGGATGAAGGAGTGTGTCTCAACTGCTAAAGTCTCTATACTAGTAAATGGATCACCTACAGCTGAGTTTAGTCCCCAAAAGGGGCTCAGACAAGGAGACCCTCTATCCCCGTTTCTCTTCAATATTGTAGCTGAGGGCCTTAACATTTTGTTTCATAGAGCTGTCCAGGCTGGGTTGTTAAAGGGCGCATCAGTTGGTGCTGTCCGTTTAGCTGGCGAGTTTGGTCCAATATCATTGGCTGGTGGGGTGTATCTTGGGTGCAGCCGGGATCACTGACTGGTCTGTTCCAGTGGTGGTCTGGATTTAGATGGAAAAAAAGACTGAAGGTACTCTGGAAGTTACTACCTTTGGCTGTGTTTTGGTCTCTATGGAAGCAGAGAAATGAAATCACTTTTGGGGACTCACATATGGATTATGAAAACCTATGTGAACTTATTAAAACAAGGATCGCATTGTGGTTCAGAGCGTACAGTCCTTCTTGCTGCTATTCCGTGAATGATTTGGTGTTAAATTTGCAAAGTGTCAAGTTCTGCATTATGCATTGAGGGCGTTATGCTGACTGGCTGATTTGCTGGATTTGCTTCAGTCTGAATTCTGAATTCTGTGATGCATATAATTTCTGCAGGTTGAGTCTTGCTGGAATTTTGCACTCTAATTCTGCTTCTGGGCTGGGCTGTGCAGAGCTGGGGGTTGTAGTGATAATTGAGTAATTAGGTGCATGCTGGTTCTGATATTTGCTTGTCATAATGGGCCTGCTGCTGGTATCTAATCCAAGGAGAATATCTTGTTTTTGGCTGCTATCCCACCAGATCTTAACGGTGATGAATGGGTTGAAGCACTGGGTTCATTTTAGAAGTTTCTCAAACAGCTGTTCAAGGCAAGGTGTTTGGCTCTATAGCTCAGAAAATCTGTATCATCCGTCCTGTTTTTGGGGATCTAGTGCCTAAGCTATCTAGTTTTCTGGTTCTTTTCTTACTCTGTTGTGTTAGCTCGTTGGTTTCTCACCAACTTGGAGGTTGGAGCTTGTTTTAGCTCCAAGCTCCACTTTAGTGATGTAATTTTCTTTTTCCATCAATAAAGTTTTCCTTTTGCCGATCAAAAAAAAAGAAAGCAACACCCTTGTACCACACAATAATATCTCATTTCTTTCTTTCTGATTATCAAAAGAATACATACATACATACATATATATACACATATAGAAAACCAATCACCAACTTCAGCAAGACCAAACTTCTCTAGAGCTCTCAATTTCTCCATCCTTGTATTATCTTCTTCCATAACGTAATACGTATTTTATTGCAACTGCATCTCTTTTTATGATTATTCAAATATTTTACAACATATTGCTATTTGTTCCAAGAAATAATGGCTACCCATTTTCAAATTCAACCCATCTTTCGCATTCATCAAGTCATCAAAATAGTTTAAATGTAAAATTACTATGTGTTTGCACATATTGCTAGTATCTATACTATTATATAGAGGGAACACTTTAGTTGGTGTCATGAAGTCATTCTCATCTTTAATACCAAGCATTCATTTCTCAATTTAAAAAAAAAAGTTTTAATTTAGACAAAGGAAGAGCATGAAACTTGTATGGTAGACCGAAAACCTAATAAAAACTCTTACTATTTAAATAGAACATAATATATAATAAATATTTTATTTTATTTTTATTTTTATTTATTTATTCAAAGCGAACCGCTAATATATATACATATATATAACTTCTCCTCCAATAAGAAAAGATGTAATCACTGGCAAATGAAAAGAATCCAAAGATAAAAGAAGGCCCAAACGAGCACAGTTCATGCTCTCTCTCTCTCTCTCTCTCTCTGCTTGGCTTCTGATGTAAGTAGACAGACATCCCACTACCAGTCAAATTCAAAGCACTCCCCCAACTAAACTCCATTTATTTTGCTACCCTTGTCTTCTATGCCTTAAACTTTCACGGGTGATCCTCAATAATAAGTCTAAAACCATAGAAATCAAATGGAGAATTAGACACAAAATAAATAGTGAATATGATTTTTGAGAAATAAATTTCACTAATAAATGTTATAAAATCTTATTCATTTAATTTGTTTTATTCTATATTTGATTTGTATTACTAGCATTGTTAGATCCTAAATGCACTACAAAATTTCTCAACAAACCCACTCCTCTGTTTGCATTGGGGAGTCATGTTTTAAAAAAATCGGTGTATGAAAAAATTTTGGTGGCCATTTTTTTTTATTGGCAAAGAAGTAACATTTCATTGATAGGTACCAACGAGTATAAGCATTCAATTTTTAGTTATAATATTTTTTTTTGATAATTTGGTATCTGACTTATTAGACTGACTAATTTGATAACCAAATCCACTGTCCAGTAGCAGGAGCCTATTTAAGTTAGGAAAAAACTCCGTATAGATTGTCCTTAAGAATAGCGGGGAGCATGGTCCGGATGGGACCGGATTGAGGTAAAATCAGGACCAATCCGTTATCTACGGTTCTTGAAAAATTGGAACCAATTCAATCCGTTTAAATTGTGGAACCAATCCGAACCAATCTATTTAAACACGGATTGAATCGGTTTAGGATCATAGATTTACATAATTAAATAACAAAAAATATATATAACACTTTAATTTCATAAAAATATAATTATAGCACCATATTAGTTTCACAATAACAACATGTCTCTTCATAATAGCGACATATTATTCTAGAATTTAAACAACCATTAGAAAACTGGTTCTATCATAAGTATTTAGATAATTACAAATTAACATTAAAAACTAGCAAACAAAAATAATAAAAGAAGATATTATGTGAGTTTAGGTTTGGATTTAAGTTTTATATAAAATAAGAGAAGATACTATGCAGGAGGGTGTATAATAAAAATATAGACTATTTGTATACAGTCCGGATCGGTTCCAATCCGGAACCATGGGGTTCAATCCGAAACCAATCCGTGAACTACGAATTTTTAATTTTTCAATCCAGAACCGAACCAAGGATTCAAAAAACCAATCCAAACCTACTGAATTAGACTGGATTTGATCGGATTACGGATTTCACGAATTTCTTGCTCAGCCCTACTTAAGAAGTTACTTGCATCTAGGACGTTTTGAGATTTTGGAGAGAGCACACCCTTAAGTAGTGGTGGCTTCAGGAATATTTTTCAAAGTGTTCACAGTGTGCATCCCGATTTTTTTTTTCAAGGTAGACGTTCAAAAATTTATTTATTTTAAACTTTTCAAATCACACACAAATAAATAAAATATAATAAAATTCTAATATATTTATATCATTGTTTCAAAAAATAAAATGTAGATACAAAAGTTTACATATATATATATATATATTATCATGATAGTGATAAAAATAGGTTTGAACCTAGAATCTTGGATTATGTTAAAAACATTCTTACAACTTAAAGAATATAAATATTATAATACTAATTTCTTTATTATTTTTTTATTCTTATTTATTTGAATTACACACGTAGCGTGTGTACCATCCATTAATATATATTGATTATATATGGGCTAAATTAAGTTAGGTGTTTAAGAAATGGGGGATTTTTTTTAAGGTCCCTGATATTAAGAATTTATAGTATAAAAGACACTCAATATTTTCATAATGTCCAAGGTCCCTCAACATCAATCCAGAGAAAATTCGATCCAGAGAAAATTCGGTCTATATATATATGTATATATATTATTACACCTATTGAAAACCCATTATTAGACATAGAGTTACCCCTACCCTAGGTCTTAAGTCTTGACAACTAGACCAACTCTTTCAGACATTAGAGAAAGCATACTCTCAAACCATAAATCTTGACCACCAAGCTAATCCTTGGAGATTTTTCAGTTAAATCATTTGTTTGGTTAATATCTGATTTATCATTATTAGCGTAGTGGCAATAATGAGAGAGTTTTGTTAACTAGTGTTCTAAGAGTATTGTTCCAAAAAATTTTAAAACAAAAAAAAAAAATAAAGAAAAAACTGTAAAATTATCAAACAAAATTTAAATATTTTGTTGTTTCATAAACAAATTAATTAAGTCATGATGAGTTTGGTTAAATTTGTTATCAATTCGGTTTTGTAAAATAACATCACAACAATCCGAGAATATTGGCACATCGAAGAAGCCAGGGGAGACCCAACGTAGTGGTTCGTCAAACATGCTCAAACACACATAGGTCCTGTTTGGTACGTCCGTTTAGGATTTTTTTTTTAAAGTTAAAATTCACAATAAGATAAAATAAGTTTAAATAATTAATAAAAAAAATATCACATTAAGTTCATAATCATTTAATTTTTTCTCTCATAAATATTTCATCCAATTATAAAAAAATCTAATCAAAAATTTTAACATATTAAAACAATCAAAAAGTAAAATAACCTATAAAAATAGTCAATTTCCCTAACGAGGCGATCCTGCCCTCTCTATACTCTCTCTCTAGCCTAGTCCCCACTAGAAACATTCCCCTTACACGTGTCTTCATATTAGCCTTCCACCTAGTTGGCCCCCTCTTGGTTTTTAGTCCCTCTCCCTCTCCCTCTCGTTCCATCATCACTCACTCACTCTGTCTCTCACACATTTCAACTTCCACAACACAAAAATGAAGGTACTCTGTGATCACAATCCTCACTTGCATTCAGCATTCTTTACATGCTTGCTCTATCTAAGTCTCTCTCTCTCTCTCTCTCTCTCTCTCTCTCTGTTTTTGCAGCTCTTCAATTGGGTTCATCGAAAGTTTCATCACAAAGGTTTGGTTTTTCATTTTTTCAATCCTACAAAGTTAAAAGGCCTTTGCTTTCCACACTAGTATCATGATTTATACACACAAATATTATTTTATTGTGCAGATGGGAAGAAGGAAGAGCTGGCCATGGTTACCATTGAAACAGAGAAACAAGTGCTACTTGAAAATGTCCCCCTCGCAGACGTCCTCGTTGATGGTTGGAGAGATGGTATTCTCACCATTGGTACATTTGGTTTCGATCCTTTGAGTGATTTCAATCAAAAAAATGAATGCCCTGTAGTTGAAGAAGAAGAAGAAGAAGAAGAAGAAGAAGAATGTGAGGAGGAAGAAGAAGAAGATTATGAATTTGTTAATGAATTAGGCGACGAGGACATGAAAGAATGTGATGAAGAAGAGCTTAATCCGCTGGTATTCACAGCATTTCGCTCAAACTACAATGAAAATGCTCTGAAAGATGATCTGAGAATGGTTCGTGAACTTGGTTTTGGCGCGAACGAGTTGGAGGATGAGAAGAGGAACAAGAAGAGAGAGAGAACGACACTTGCAGATTTGTTCTCAGCTGATTCTGATGATCTGAATAACGCAAAGCGAGATCGAAGCAAGATCAAGCCAGAATCTAAGAAGAAGGCTGATGATGATGTTCATGCAAAAAAGAAAGGCCTCTCGTTTGCTAAGAAGCTCATTCCTCGTGTTGGAGATGATACTCGTCCCATCAAGAAACTGCACCAAGTAAGTCGATGGCTTATTAGACTCTGTATTGCGTGTATATATTGATGCACTTGTCAAGATACAAATTTTAGAGCAACTTTGGTTTGTTGGTTCCTCACCAACTGGCGCTTGGAGCTTTGTATTAGCTCCAAACTTCTTTTTATTGATGCATTGTATCACTTTTGTATACTTCTATCAATAAAGATTTTTTTTACTAATAAAAAAAAAAATACAAGTTTTAGAAGATGAGTTGTAACTATTATTACTGAAGATGAGATTTTTTTTTTTTTTTTTTTTTTTGTAAATTCTCTCTCTCTCTCTCTATATATATTAGAGTCTATGCTACGTGTGTATATTAATTCAGTTGTCAAGAATTAAAATAGATAATTGTAGCAATCATTATCTAAGAGAGTATTATTTTAGTAACTGAACAATGATTAACAATCAACGAAGGTTAAAATTATTATTATTATTATTATTGGATCGGTTTTGTTTTGTTATAAACATTCTCTCTCATGTGCCTTTGTCTTGAGATAAGACTTCGGGTACACTTCAATACATGAACTCCTATTTTCATTTGTTTGATAATGTCTCAAATTTTTCTAGGAGATTGGAATATGTGGCATTATTATTATTTTGGGATATTTGTCGTATTATTGATTGAGCTAGAAATTGTTTATGAATTTTAAATTTTCCTTCATTTGTGATCGAACATTTCTACAAATGAGGTGACCACAATAGTATCAAATTGACAATGAGATTGAACACAAAAATATTGAATTATTGATCACAATTCATTTTATTATTTATATTATCAACTATTATCAAACTTAGTAACCAAAAATCTTGTCCATATATAGCTGATGAGAAGGATGCTGAAGAGGAAGATCCATCCAGACCTTGAAGGAAAATTTCAAAAGATCGATAGTCAGATTAAGCCTACCGTATGCGGACTTTTTGCTGAAGAACATGGAGCCAATGAATCGGTTTCTCTCCTTCAAACTAAAGGTTTTTATCTATCGTCCTTTTATTTACACAAAAACTAATTATATAATCCAACATAACAAGATAGGACCCACCTCATGTGATAGGATTTTGTTTAATTTTATGATCGGTTTTTGTGTTCTTAGATTTTTTGTTTTATTTTAGTTTATGTTTTCCACATGTATTGAATTATTATTGGCAAATGAGTATATATTAATCCATACCAACAGTCTTTACATGCATCTTACACTAAATACAGGGTATTTTTTTTTTATTTTTTGGTTAAGACACTAGTAGGTTTTTTCTTTGATCATTCAGTAGATAATATTAACAAGTTAGTAATTTAAGTTAATACAACCAGGCATTTAACGCTTCTTCATGAACTTGAACACCTAAGATTCATTTGAAAATTGACTTTTTTTTAGTAATTTTTAACTTTAACGAAAAAATATGTAAAAAAATAGAGAGAATAAGTTATTTTTAAATTTTTTTTTTGACTAAATTAGCTTATTCTCAAATAAGGCCTTAATCTTACTCTGAAAATCTAAGTGTACAATCACTTGACTTACGCTCTCAAGTTTCAATATACTAGCTTCAAGAATGACAATTTTGATCATTTGAAAATGACCGTCAATGGTATTTTAAATTTGTTGTTGTCTTCAAAGAATTCTTTTTAGAATTTCTAATATCCCTCTCCACATGTTGTGTTGGTCAATTGTAACAATAATGCTAGGCACACAGAAACAATGCACATGTGCACATCATGCGGTTGAGAGCGCATGGAAGTCTAAGACACAGGGACATAGAAATTTGGGGCCAGATAGAGGAGTAGATTTTAGACATTACGGCACTATCACCAACTATTAATAAATCTTGAACTAGATGGTTTCATAAGGAGAAAGAGAAGTGGATAATATGTTGGCATGCACATTGCATGGTCTACAAAAAAGATAACTAAATGTACCTCCCTACGAAAGACATAAAAAAAAAAAATGTACCTCAATTTTTCACTAACAGTATGCTTTATTTCCTCATGTTGTTCTTGTTGTTGGTTCCAAGTGTTTGGTATCTTATGCTTTGTAATCCATTATTATAACATAACTAGACGAATAGTTAGGTCAAGTATGGCTGGACCATAGAGAAATAGAATCTAGCAGCTTTTGTGTCATTGTCTAGGGTTTGTAATAATACTCTGCATATAGGTAATAATGGGTCCCGCCACAAAATTAAATCTAAGACAATTCCAACCACAAAGTGGTTCAGATAATCACATATGAGTTCATTATTTTTGCTTTCTTTCTTTCTTCTTCTTTGTCATTTTTTAAATTCATTTTGTTTTCTTTTTCCCTTACAATCAGTAATGCTGTTCTATCACATTTGTGCATATAACTTTTTGACAACCTGCACCATCCGACTCAATTCTTATTGTATTCAGATCTTAAGTTATATTATGAGTTATATCGAGAACTCTTATTGATGACGCCTTTGAGAGAGACAACCGGTTATACTTTTTTCTCTTTTGATGGTAAAACCTTCTACCCATCTATGCTCATGGCCGTAGGCTAAGCCAAACCATCTATGTGTTTGTGTTATTGTGTGATTGCTCTTTTTACTTTTTGTTTTCATTTGTTCATCATAACAGGGATCAAGAATTCCAACACAACAAAATGCCGAGAAAATATAATACTCAAAGAGTTAAATTTAGACTAAACACTTCTTTTTTTCCTTTTTTTTTTTTTCAGAGTATTTTTCCATGTCTAAGTTCTTGTTTTTCCTAGTAATACCATTTTCCTTCTTAATTAAAGGTAATGGTCCAATGGTCATCTGCCAATCATGTATAGTTCTAGGCCCACAATATATCACTTTTGAGGGTCTCTCATGTCTGCCACCCCTCTAAAGAGATCATTGTCATCTACCATGCATGCTACGGTTACTGATTGAAGTTTGCTTTTCTTCTCTCTGATGCAGATGCTGTGGTGTGAGGTGTGAGAAGTGTTGAACTGGTTTCTTAGGAATGTATTCTGATGATGATTGTCATGAAATAATTTTCCTTTTAAGGTTTGTCTATTAATTTATTAGATTTCATGTAGATGAACCATTGAACTAGCTATGTGAATTTATTTTGTACTTCTTTGGATGTGGATTTGGCATTTGTTGTGTGGTGAAAGGCTTTGGCTGTGATGAACATCACAGGCTTCGATTGATTATGTTTTGGCTATATTGATGCATGTTCTGTTTGGTCATTATTGGACAGTGTTGTGAGTATTGTCTCAAATTCAACATCAGTTATGCTTATTATCCATTGACAACTCGCACAGTGTCTTTACCACTAGGTCCGACCTATTATCTGTATTTGAAACTATTCTGACTCGTTTTGGTATCATTTGTATTCTTATGTATATTTTGTTACTTTGGTGTTTTAAGTAATAATTAATCATGGTCATGAGAGCTTTTGCGATAGATGATTTGTTAAGTTTCACAAGTTAATTGTCAATAGTGGATGACTGTTACAAACACAAGTTTAAGTTCAAAACCTAAAGCCTCCTAACACCATTTCAGTTATACATTCAAAATGAAATTATCATATCATTTTTCGTTCATGAAGTATACTTTTATATTCAATTCATCATAGTACGTTTTGCGTACAAATTATGAATTGACTATCATGAACACAAGTTTAAATAACATCTTATATGTGTGAGTGTAGTTTCGATCATAAAGGACAGGAATGATAGGGTAAGGCATGATGATGATGGTGCTGTGTTTAGACAAACATAGCACTTGTAACTTCAATCCTTTTTCCTAACAACCATTTCGTACTGTCTTTGTTATTAACAATTATTAATTTAAGAATTAGATATATATATATATATATATAAATAAAAGTGTCATCCAAACAGATACTATTATGTTCATTGATTTTAGGCTCTCCAATCTCATCAATCAATTCAAATTCCCTTTTTTCCAAATTGGTCATATCATCCTTTAACAAAGTTTGGTTCCCCCTTATTAATTAGTTGGCAGGAGGACCAGCAACCAATGACAAAGACAAAACCATTTGCCAATGTGGGATATCATAGATTTATAGGTGCTTTTACTGTGTTCTTCCATCCATGGCCAAAGAAAAAAACACATAAAATTCTATGTTTTTTATTAAATCAGCACAAAATTTTATGTTGGTAACCACATGACATAATAATAGATTATTATACAAAATTAAGACTCAAAATTTAAAATCCTATAATCTGGACTCTTCCTTCCATTTATCTTTTTTCCTTGTTTAATGAATTTCTGTCGTCTGTCTTACAAAAACTCTCTCTCTCTCATCTACTTTAACCCTTCTTTCTCTTTTCCCTCCCTAATGGAATCTTTGTCCCTCTCTTATGAAAGTTCTCCGTTGTCTTTCTATGACACCCCAACAAATATTTACTTAATCTTTGAAAAAAAATATAATTACAACAATTTTTTTGGCCATAGTCGAATTTAAGAAAACTTATTCAATTGTTTCAAGAAACCTCGTGGATGGCATGTTAAGCCATGTGCCACATGGCTGCACAATGATGCATAGTGCAATATTGTCACGACCCAAATCCGCCCCGGTAGGTTTAGCATCGTAACCGGCTAGTAATCCTAAGATTACCGAAGGCCTCTGAAACATATTAACAAAATAAGGGGGCTAACGGAAGCAAATATACAAAGTATTCATAATCCATAGAGCTGTACAGACACACATGTAGCAGAAATTTAAAACCTTATAAAATATATATACGTATCCAAAAGTCATTCTTGCATTATACCCACACACATTATAGCATCTTAAGTGCAGCCAACAAAAACAAACAAGTCTCACATACAGAAACAACCAGAACTTATGACACGTGACATTTCTGGAACCTCCACGTGAGGCATAATGGTTGGCTGACAACAGAACACAGATCCAGACAAAAATCTTCAGGCCTGATCTCTAGAACGCTCACCTATACATATATATGCACATAATGAGCTAAACCCCAGCGAATAACATTAAGGTAAAATGGTTAGTGAACAAATTCTGAACATTTCATAATCATAAAACAGATCATAACATAATCATTTTCATATCTGAACATAATAACGGTACATCCCATAGATCACATCACATATCTTCCGACTAGAGTAATCGGTTCCGGATACCGATTAAACGCATCACCACTTTACAAGTGGCTAACGAGATCTCGTAATCACATATATGTCATGGACCCGCATTAATATGCCGTCCCCTATGACTTGGGACTATCTATGGATGCCATAATAGATTTCAAACATAAGACATTCGTTCATGTAAACAAATATCATTTCAGAAATCATAACTTATCAATCACATTTAGAACATAATTCATATAAACATATCTTTAGAATAGCGTTACTCATAGTAGGCTCCCGTAAACGGTCAATCAATCTTCGAGTCTTGACCTACAACCACAAAGTATATAACACAAACATATCTTATCATTACGCATGTACATGACCATCATGGCTTAGCTTTCTTTACTTTGGTTTCTTATTCAGTCCATTTCTCATAATTTGTACACGTGAATCACATTCTCGGATTTTGGATTGGTCTCATATTTTCTAATTCAATTACTCATGTTATTTCTTAGCTCATTACTCTTAAATGACTCATAATTCATGTCTAAATATGCTCAGAAAAGGATAGGAACAAAAATATGAACACCGAATATCTTTGAAAAATATGTTGAAATTGGCTTGGCCGCTCGAGCGCACCTTCGGTCGCTCGAGTGGACTGCTCTGCCTACAAAAGTACTAGATGGTCTCAAACTACACTCGAGCCACAACTTCTGTGCTTGAGCAGTTCAACAAAATACAAAGGGTTCGCACGAGCCACCAAGTGGTCGCTTGAGCGGTCTGTAATAGACTGCAAAACTACTGGATGTTCTAAATGTCCGCTCGAGCGGCAAATCCTTCGCTCGAGCGATCTGCAAAAATCCTGGGTTTTTAAAACAGAATTTTGAGTTTCCAAATGCAATTTCAAAAGCAAACTCATGCATGGCTTATTCATAAACTTGGAAAACTCACCCAAAAACTTGAACATATGATTTTCACAAACTCTTTTTGCTCAAAACTGATGGATTTAACCAAATTGGGATCAAAACTCCCATGCATGTAAGTTTTACAAACCTTTTTCAAAACTCATGTCATTAGCAATTTTAAACTCAATAGTTCCATGCATGTCCAAATTTCATTTCCAAAATATGAAATTGAACTTTAGAACATGATAATTTAAACATGCAAGTTCCAAGAAATTTATAATTATAATCATGGATGGTAGAATTCTAACTCCAATGACCATGTATGAAACATTCAACTTCAAATTCTTTTTCAAAGCTTACAAATCATGGAAGTTAACTTCAAAATAACTCAATTCAAGGATACATGTGAAATGTAGGTTCAAAACTCAATTTAAACAACATATTCATGATCAAAACTAAAGAATCAGGCCAAAACTATACATGCATGTTATCTACTTCCTCTTCTTGGCATTTTTTAACTAAAAACATGCAATTAACCTCATATAGTTCATGAATTCAACTCTAAATCATATACTTTTCAAGAATTAAGGGTTAGATGCTCACCAAAAGCCTTAAGATGCTCTTGTTCTAGCACAAACTTGAGTTACTCTAGCAAAATCTCCAACTTTTTCTTGAATCTCTACACTTTCTCTCTCTAAGATGGAGTTCACCCTCTCTCTAGAATATGATTTCAGAATTTTCCACTCAAATAAAACATGCTTGAGCTCAAGAATGAGCCTAAGAGCCCACTTATATAGTTGTAATGCTAATATACATTAATTAGAACATTAGGTTTGCCAAACACAACTTATTTAATCAAGCTAATCAAATTTTTAATAAAATTTGTCATATGATTCTCAAAATTCCGAATAACATATTGATGTTACCAATTTCAATTTCGGAGGCAAATAAGGCTTTCAATTTTCATATCAAAATAGATTTTACAATAGATACGTCAAATAGCATGCAAGATACACAATAAACACATAATTTATTTAAATCACTCAATTAACATCCTGAATTACGGATTAGTACTTAATTATGGATCGGGGTTGTTACAAACATAGTGCTGCATAGTAAGGGTCTTCTCACCTATAAATAGGTAGGTTGCATGGTAATGAAATCACAGAAATAACAAACGAGGGGTATATAAGAGAGTGAGTCGAAGTCAAAAGTGAGAGAAAATGATCCACTTTGAGGTGAGTTTTATTATATTTTGAGCTACCATAAACTGTTTTATTTAAATTATGTTTTGTATTTTATATTAGTTTTTAAAGTATATTATTTGCTAACTGAACCCTATTTGCTTAAAAAAAGAAACCCATAGATATAACTGTTTATTAAATGTGTTTTGCACAATTATTTTGTAAGTATCACCACGGAGGTCCCATGTCTTAGGGGACTTAAATAACTATTGACCCTCTAAATTGTCACTTTATGTGACCCTCTATTATGTTCTATTGTCACTTCAAGTGACCCTCTGTTGTCATGGATCCACTAACCCTCTGATTTCTAGTGTGGAGCAAAGTGTTGTGCGGAGCTAGTGCTACATTATTGTGGAAGCCACATCTAGAATTTGTACGAGCCACCTCTTAAGTCCATACAACTGTTCAGTTCAATTTTGTACTGTGGTTATAATTATTTTCTTATATGATTTCTGCATTATCACTACAAAAAATTAAAATTTTAGGGACAAAATTATTTTTTAGGGACCAAATAGTTTTGCAATGAAAAGTGTTGTTATTTTATTTTTAGTAACGAAAATTGAATATTAGTGATGAATTATTATCCTTTTGGGACTAAATTTTTTGTCTCAAAAAATAAACAATTTTGAGACCAAATTATTTTGTCCCTAAAAGTCTATTTATTAGTGACATTTTCAAAATTTTGTTGCTAAAAGTCTTATTTTTGACTTTTCGAAACGAACTTTTAGCGACTATTTTCACGACGATAGAAATTGGTTCCTAAATATTTTTTGCAACGAAATTTTCACTTTTAGAGACTAGAACTCTTATATGTTGTAGTGTATGCTTTTGTTATATAAAATGATTTATGTATCTCTATTATCGAACAAATCTCTATTTGGCTCAGATAATTATCCATGGTGATTTTTAAACCCTTATACTTAGTATAATATT